GTTCTTAATAGGTCAAGCTCATAAGATAAAAAACAAATACACTGGGTTAGAGTAACCCACCAGCTTAGCCTTGCAAGTTTCTAGGTATCCAATTGAACGTTTAGCTAACACAAGGACACAAGTACCAGTGAGATTCTGTGTCTTTGCCTTTTGTTGGTTCAATTCATATTTTGCGGATATGCCACATGCTGTTGTGCCAGTAAATCTTAATTACATGAGTTCTGTAACACTTGAACCTTATCCAAAAATTTCCAAAACTTATCTGAGACTCCTTGAACTGATCATCCCTACAAATCTTTAAAACCCTTTTATGTATGACACCTTGGGATCGGTGCTGGCCATCAATTGGCATGATGTGTGTTGTGCAATATGGCTGATACATGTTGAGAGTTAACTACTTGGTGCTAACTTCATGATCTGGCTATTTATTCACAAAGAAGAGGAAATATTGTTCATTAAATAAACAACAACTTTTAGAGAAACGTGAAATATTAAGCAGTCTGCAAATATCATTTATTGTTTTAGTGACCAGGTTTTGCAAAACATTTTTTTTTGTAAAAGAATAATTTGTTAGCAGTCTGCTATTACCATCTACTGTTTTTGCTCTTCAGGTGGTTAAGTGATTACTGTTTCTTTCATCAGACAAATTGCTACTTGTATATGTGCTTTGGTGACTGCTTGTGTCAGAAGTTCTTCAATTATGTACCATATCTGATGCAATTTTGAACATGTTCACTTTGTCTGCTTGATACATAAGCATCTTTTTTCTGCTTTTGGCAGGAACTATGGATGATGCACAATCAGTTGCAACACTTTTTGATTCTACAACATCAAAAATACAGCAGTTACAACAGGCATTTGCTGAACTTGAGCGTCACAGTGCCATATCCTTGAACTTAAAATGGAAAGAACTTGAAGAACATTTTCATGGACTCGAGAAGTCTCTAAAGACAAGGTTTGACGAGTTGGAGGATCAGGAAAAAGAATATGTTACAGAAGTCACTGAAGCCCAGCAAATGTTGGAGAAGCAGGAGACTGCTGTTGTGGCCAAGGAGCTTGCATCTCTGGAACGGTTGCAGGAAAAAAGAGATGCTGCTCTATCTGTTTTGTTTGATAAACATGGAACTTCTTCTTTGGAACCTGTTGTTAAGGGGGTGAACAACAGCATGACTGATCCTATTTTAAAAGAAAACTCTGGTGTTGGAGCTGCCAAATCTGGCATGGAAGATGTATGTCCTGCAGAAAAAGGAAGTGTGTGCATTGAGCCACCTACAGAGCTGATGAAACTATGTGAAGAAATGGATGCACAAGGACTACATAAATTCATTTCAGATAATCATAAAAACGTAATCTCTATACGTGAGGAAATTCCGGTGGCATTAAAACGTGCAGCCAATCCTTTCAGCTTGGTTTTAGATTCCTTGAAAGGCTTCTATGCTGGAGAAATTCTAAGTTCAGATGGAAAAAAAGATGTAAGCCTATTGGGCCTGCGAAGGACTTGTCTCATGTTAATGGAATCTCTTGAACAACTGTTGGCTGATGGTGTACCAGATTCCCTTTTTGATAACCAAAGACTTACATCAGATATCAAAGAGAAAGCAAAGGTGATAGCTAAAGAATGGAAGCCAAAGTTGGATCAACTTGACATTGAAGCCACTAGTGGAAACTCATTGGAAGCACATGCATTTCTACAGCTTTTGGCTACTTTTGATATTGATTCACAATTTGATCAAGATGAAATCTGCAAACTTATTCCAGCTGTTACACGGCGCCGTCAAACTGTTAACTTGTGTCGTTCACTTGGTTTGTCGCATAAAATGCCAGGTTGTCCATACATTAATTTGGTCATATTGACATTCGTAGAATGAGATAAGTTATGTTTGTTATAGATGATAATTCAGTGTTGAATTTGCTATTTTTCTCCACGTCCTCATACATTATCATGTCTTTTTAAAACTAGTAGTCTTCCATTTACAACTATTGAAAGATATCACTAGCATCATGTTTAGATCATGATTGTTAAACCTGTGTTCATGATGATAATGGAGAACATAAACAACTAGTCTCATCAATCAATAGTTCGATTTTGCCAAACTTTTAATGGGGATGAATTCTGATGTGAATATTTTTATTAAATTAAAATTCATAAATAGTACCACTAACTAAACAACAATAATAGAATTGTAATATCTCATTTATTTGGGATCGTCTGCATGAATCTAAATATGTCTTTGTTCATAGTTTCTAATAAAGTCTTTCTAGACCTCCCTTTACCTCTTTTCAATCCATAATTACTAGTACAACATCCATAGATATCCACATGCCATACCATATTAAATAATTGTTCCTCACTTTATCCTCATTCAAAGCTAAACCTAATTGTTCAGAAATAAAAATATTTATTTTCTTATCTTACCTAATAATTCCTAACATCCATCTAAATATTCAATATTCAAATATTCAGTAATGCAAATTTTTTGCATATATTGCTTTTTAACTAGTCAACATACATACCAAATCAATCCAAATCCATTAACATTCATGTTAATGAGATCTGACAGGTTTACCTTGGTTGTTAGGGGCCTAATGCAACCCTTTTTCATCTGGACTTAGGACCAGTATTGCCGGTGTTTACCACTATATAAAGTAGTCACTGTGATTCCAGGTGTTGCATTGCACTTGAAGTAGTCAATCAGTTTATTTATTTTCACTATTGATAATAATTTTTGGTGAAGTTGTACGACATCTTATTTGCAACAAAGATACATTTGTGACTTACCCAGTTCTGTGCAGTTTGTGACTTCATGTTGTCTCTGAAAGGCAATTATTGAAGGATCAGAGGCAATTATACTAGCTTTTTAAAATCAGTTAGCTTATGTTCAGTTTTAATCTGCTTGTGAATGTTTCCTGCTTATTAAAGTAATTATTAGTTATTTATTTATATGCTTTTTAATGTAAAAATTGTTTGCCAGGAAAATCTTTAAGTGGTGACTGCACTTTAGGATTGTAATGTCAACCCAGCTTGATCACCTTTATACTATTTACCCCAGCTTCATGGTGTTTTTCCTTCCCTGGTTATTATTTTTCAGGCTTTGATAAATGAGCTTTTGCAATGGTTTGATTTTAGTGTCCCATAGGATAATATCTCAAGTCCTTTGAGGAACCATGTTACCTTTTTACCTTGTCAGTTATTTTTTGAGTTTCTTTTGTCACATCCCACTGACATCTTTTTGCTTAAAAGTCTGTATAGTATCTAATATGTATTAGCACACTGATAATCTGATGCATATAATTGATTCTTTATTTTTCTATGTCACATCTGCTGATTGGAACTATTGATTCGTAGGTTTGATTGAAGTTCTACTGAATAGTGGGAGGCAAATTGAGGCCGTTAATCTTGCCTATGCATTTAAACTCACAGAACAATTTCCACCAGTGCCATTACTTAAAGCATATCTGAAGGAGGCGAAAAAAGTTTCACAGGTCAAAGCCGGAAGCATGTCTCCTGGTGCGCAGGTCTTATTTCTTCTCTAACTTGTTATAATTTTGTACTTGACATATCTTGCCACCTGCAAAATATTTTTGCTTTATCTGATGACTTCTGATTGTTGCTTCTTCTCCGCTTACACTTTTATATTTATCTGACTTGAAGCTACTGAATGTTTCTGTCACAAGTATATGTCAATTTATTTGACTGATTCTATATCAGAATGAAATGAATGAACGGGAACTATCTGCCCTTAAAGCGGTCATCAAATGCATTGAAGAGCACAAACTTGAGGAGCAATACCCTGTTGATCCGCTTCAGAAGCGCATCCTTCTGCTAGAGAAGGCAAAGGCCGACAAGAGGAGGGCTGCTGAAGCTGCAAAGCCGCAAACCAAGAGGCCCCGTGCCAATGGCAGCATTTACCCTCGTATTAACATCATGCCTGACAAAAGCTTCCATCGATCACCCTTTGAGAGGTACCCATACGCATATGATAGGCAGTACGTCTATGCTGCTGAAACTCATCATCCTACGCCAATGGGTTCTGCGCCATATACCATCCCCCGCACACATTCCACGTTCTATGGTAATGTCCACCAGGTCCAGTACCAGACCGCCTATCTTTATTAATGGAGAAAGCTGCAGGAATCATGATATCTTCTAACAAGTAGCTTTTAGTCCTTAGTGTACCTAATATATGTTAACTAAATTTGTAGCCAGAAGATTAGTCTGTTTATTATGTTGGAAGTGTATCACCATGTTCAACAGTTGAAGCTTATGTGTTTATATGCTATCGACTGATTGACATATATTTCTAGTATCCAGTTTGATCGCCTAGGTTTGATTTGGTACTTCGATGCAGTGTCTGAAATTTTTGCTGTTTGATCTAAGGGGAATTTTAATCTGTATGGGTATGGTGATCATGATTTTATCTGACCTGAGGAGCTTCACATTTTTTTGGCTGCTTCCAAATATAGAATGCTTTTTGTTTCATTGGCTTTCTTCTTTTTTGGTTGCTTGACGGCAACTACAGCTGATCCTTTCACTGTCAGTATCTCTAGTGCTTGTCCAAAGTTGTTTTATTCATTGTTGAGCATTAGTAGCCAATCTCTCTGACTCTTTTATTCTATCAGTCGCTGTATCATTGCCAATTTGTCTTCCAAAAATTTCTATTGTCTCATTGCCACAATGAAAGGTAATTCGATCGACATTTGTTGTCAAACTCATGTGTAAAAGCAGTTGCAATCTCTACAAACTAATCCGCTGTGCCATCAAAACTACACCCAATGATGCAATTTGGTGGCAGCACTATTGTTTTCATTCCTTTGTGCAGGAATTCAAGATCGATAAGAAGCCAATTCTTTGTCTATTATTTGAGGGCGTATACGATCAGCCCAATATTTGGGTTGTAATGGGCCCCACCGGACAGAGTTAGCCCAAAAGATCTCCGCGGCCGAAAAGATGAGGCGAGAAAGTAAAATATCTTTCCGATTTCCTTCCCGTGTATCCGAATCCGTTTGACGGATTAGAGACGTAGAAAAGGATGTAGAATATATATACGAGGTGGAACCGTAAAACCACAACTCTGCCCCTTCTCCTATCTCTTCTCTTCTCCTTCTCCATCCGCCTCCGTCCCCCAAATCTTGGAGAGTCTCACCTCTCTAGCACTTCCAGGCTTTGGATATAGGACTCGTAAGGGTGGTAGGAAGAAGAAGAAGAGGAAGAAGGGATGATTTCCTCTACTCCTCCTTTGGGGCTTTTCATGCGGCCTCCAGCCCCGGCTATTTATCTGCCCGCGTCGTCCCTAGCGTTGGGCCCCAGAGCCAGCGGCGACGCCTCTCGAATCCCTACCTTTCTTGGCTCCTTCGTCGGCTATTCGCTCGATTCCACATGGGTTGATGGCAAAAGACTGCATTTTGCGCTTGGCAATCCCCGCTCTGGAACTGCGGTAATCTTTTGACTCCTAACTTTTCCTTCTAGCATTGGTCCGTGCTGCCGTAGATCTGTTTCTTGTATTTTCGTTGAGACTCTACATATGCTTAAAACGTAATCAAGTTCTGATCTTTTATCTACGACGAGTGGGGTTTTCCGTTCTTGTATCCTTGTTTCCATCTATACCCTTGTTAGATTTCGATGGTATTTTTCTAGTGGGTAATGTTATGACGCAAAAAATTTACCTTCGGACGATTACTAATTGGTGAATTTGACTAACTCTATTTGTTTCATCAGTTTCAGTTGGTAGATTCGTTTCAATGTATATTCTTTCATGTGATGTTTTGGGCTTCATGCTATTGCATATCCAAGATGAATCATTCCAATTATGGTGATTCTTGAAGATTTTTTGTTAAACTTTTTATGTGATTTTACATTTGAATGTGCTTCCTACTATGATTCTCTCGTTCATATGTCCGTATCCATGAAACATCAAGGAGCCTTTTGATCAAATCATATCATAATCACCAAACTCTTCTCTTTTATCAAGCAAAACCCTAATTTGAGAAGACTCCATGATTGACTAAGTGGATTCTTAGTCAGCTCTAATTTGATTTTGTAATGTCAGAAATCTGTAGTTGTGAAAATGTTATTAGGCTCTTATAATTCCACAATTTGGACTCGAAATCTAGATTTCAAGTTTTGAACAATCCTGATCCAAGGATTGGACTGAGACTCATAGGATTTTAACTAGTTGGTGTGTGTTATGGGCATATCAACAGATGTTAAGATGTAACCTGATATTTGTCTGTTGTTCAATTCATTATGTCTTGTAACTTTTAACATCTTTTGAATGTATTGTAATATGTTATTAGTGGTAACAATCCATATCAGACAAAAAATTTCTTATTAGTAGGTGAGAACTTTCTGCTTTAGTTAAAGGATCGGTCTGGTTTATAGTTGTAGAAGATGTTGAAATGAGAATGATTTTTTATGTAACACTTGTCTTTTTTTCTTCTTTTTGGTGTCCAATAGTAATTGGTTCTGTGAGAGAAGATTTTTTATCTCCTGAAACTGCCTTATTTCCAATTCTTTACTTGGTGTGATATAATTACTCTTCCTAAACTACTGTAAAATTTCCTGTTTATGCTTCTATATAATTCAATATTGTAAATATTTGGTTTTCACTGATAATTTACTACCAGGGACTGAGAAAAATAAAAATTTCCTGTTTATGCATCTATATGATTCGATATTGTAAATATTTGGTTTTCACTGATAATTTACGACCAGGGACTTTAAAATTTTTCTATGTACTGGCATAGTGGCACTGTGGATATACGAGAAGAGACAGCAATGGGAGTATTCAAGATTGGGATGGGGAACTTACATCTGGGTCATCAGACGAGAATGGTGTCCAAGTTCCAACACAAGCACAGTCTGTTGTTGAGGGTTCAAGCACAGTCCTCGTGTCAGAGTACAAGCCAATTCCTGATATTGATTATTTACAGGTATTTTATTCAATAATAGGAAAAGAGCTCCCATAGCCTAATGATTTGCTTTAGAGAAGTGTCTATGAGCTCTGGTATCTCTCAAATTCAATTATCAAGATTAGTAGATTCATTTATATAGTCACAATTTAATTGTTCCAATTGGAGTATGCAGACAAGACTTGTAGTTGAAGTAAATAGATTATTTCTTTTTTGTTTGCAGCTTCTGTTCTATAATGCTAATGGCAAAAATTTTTGTTATTGCTGAGTGTATTTTGATCTTGACATGAATTTTCCAGGAATTGTTAGCTATTCAACAGCAAGGGCCCAGATCAATTGGATTCTTTGGGACTCGTAATATGGGGTTTATGCATCAGCAACTAATCGAGATTCTCAGTTATGCGATGGTTATAACTGTATGGTTCTCTCTTTACTGCCATGTCTTGTCAGTTTCAGATTCTCTCTGGTTCCCTTTTAACTCGGTTACAGATCTTGATTCTTGAAAACTTCATAATTTCATTGCAGAAGAATCATATTTTTACTTCAGGGGCTTCTGGAACTAATGCGGCTGTTATCAGAGGTGCTTTAAGAGCAGAAAAGCCAGAGTTGCTTACTGTAATTTTGCCTCAGAGCCTAAAAATGCAGCCACCTGAGAGTCAGGAGTTGTTGTCTAAAGTAAGTCTTTTGTGAATGATATTTGTTCATGAGAGGACAATTTGTATCTTCCCTTGTTGTTGCACCAGACTTATACATTTTCATGTATCTAAATTTTTGTTGCTACTTGCTTCCCCTAAGAATAAATGTCGGACATGAATAGAAGATCAATTGACTGTTTTGACTATATTAAAGACATGATGGTAGAGGTACTGAGTGAAAAGTAAGGAGATTGTTTAGAGCTTATTGATAATGGTATAATCAGTCTTTTAGCATCCTGAATTTGCGCGAGGTCTAGGCTGTGTGATTTTCTTGAAGTTATGAGTATACTTTATTTTATTTTAAATTATTCATAACGCATCTTGGGTTTGGTCTTCTTGTTGAATCTTTTTTGTTGTTTATTTGGAGTCTCATTTTCTTATTGTGGTCATTTGAAAATGCAGGTTTATACTTGTGTTTGCAATTCTCATGGGTATAAATGCATGAGATTTACCAACTTGATGAATAAATTAAACTTATTAGAAGAACTGTTCCTCTTAGGCGATCTTATAGATATTAGCATTGTATTTCCTTGTATTATGCTTGTTCTACAATAAAGGTGCTTTCTTTGTTTTTTTCATTTCGTTGTATGAAAATAAAATTCATGTTTATATTATTCTTTTTAAACTTCTTTTATTGAAATTTTGATATGTTGATCTAATACTTCATTTATTATAAACATTTCAGGTACAAAATGTGATTGAGAAACCCCAATACGATCACTTGCCATTGATTGAAGCTAGCAGGTATTTTTTGTGCCACCATGTTTCTTTTATAACTATGACTAGTAATTTGTCTTACAATAATGATTGGAACTTCTCACCGAATCACCGTGGGTTTTTATATTGATGCCAATTTTTTAAAAGATTCCAGTTACTATGATATTTAATAATGTTAAACAATTACAAAGGACTGTTAAAAAGATTGTTTGCAAATTGTATTTTATCACTCTTTATTCAGATCTTTTAGATCAGTCTTGGCAGGTTTTAACTCAAGAAGATAGTTGTCAGTTACATTACCTCACACTCCAATTATTTCACATTTTGGCTGCTAGTCAGTTGACTGAACTAATGCAGTAATGCCAGTTGTTCATTGTGGAAGAATTCAGTATGACATGAAAACATTCTAATTTTGTTTTAATAAATTCTTCAATTTATCCAAATAGATTTTCCAGTCAAAACTATTAAAATGCCATATTTGTAATCATGTTATTTCAAAGTACATATATGGCCATATACCCTTATGTTAGATTCCATCAATATCATTGAACTGAATGGTTTTGATATAGTTAACCTCGTTTTAATCATTTTAAATTTGCCTTTTCCTTTACATTTTGAAAATATAGTATAAACATTATTTTTCACCTTTGTCAATTGTTTTGTGGGAACCTATTGTTGGTTCTAAAACAATCTGATGTTGATGTCCTTTAAAACCAATCACACACAATAGCATATTTCAAACATGCACTTCACAAACATAAGATGTATTCTGTGTTTGAAAGTTCTGAATGGCAAATAGGCAAAGTTAATCCTTTCTTATACTGTGCAATAAGGTGTTCTAGGGTTGAGCATCAGATATTGGTCTCTGGTGGGACATAATTTATCTCTATTTGTGGTCTGTCTCAAGTACAAAGACAAATTCTGGTGCAACTTTTAGATATGTCAATTGAGTACCTTGATGAGAATTTAAAAGGAAAATATTGTTTCTTCCCTACATGTCCTTAATAGTATGATTTGTTTTATTGTAGGCTTTTCTTGGTTCTAATGATGCCATGCTAATACTGTGATTACTGAAACAACAGGCTGTGCAATATGGATATACTGTCAAAGGTACAGCAAGTGATATGCTTTGCATTTCATGACAGCAAATTGCTCATGGAAACCTGCCAAGAAGCAAAGAACATGAGGAAAATTGTGACTCTCTTTTACTTAGATTGATTTCCAAACTTTGTTGCCAAAAGATTTTTCTGTATATTCTGCCTATAGGGAAGCCAATTAGGTCCTCTCAATTTTTGTTCTGTCTCGTGGGATAAAGACAATCCATATCTCATTATTTTCATTCTTGGTAGAAGAAATGAATTGCCAATATTTTGATTCAAGATTGAAACAGTCATAAGCAGAACTCTATTTTGGATTAATGAAAATTTATCAGAAGCAAGTAGGAGAAATAGATATGATATATCTGTTTGAGTCTTAAAGTAGATTCTGTCTTGGGTTCTTCAAATGACCCCTTTTTGCACTACAAACATGTCATGTCAAATTGCAAATAGGAACTCAGCTTGGAGATGAGCATATTTTGTACACAGAAACAGACCAATAAATGCATGCCCATGAAGAAGACTCGCACATTCCTCTGCATTCAAGGCTTCCATGGCGCCGGCGGCGGCGGCGATCCAGGGTACAGCGGCGGCACTGCAGAGAAAATGGTGTTCGTGTCGACGCCAGAGCTGCTGCTGGTGCTCGTCAGCGACACCAGCGCCGCGACAAGGCCTGCGTTACCCGCCAACGTAGGCTCGGTGTAGTTGTAGTTCGGCCGCGAGTCGGAGAAGCGGTCGAACCGGTCGGGCCCGCCGACCATTGCCCCGGTGATGGTGTTGGGGTTCGCCGTCTTGGCGTCCCTCCACTTCCACCCGCCTGTGCACGAGTACTTCACCCCGTTGTGCGGGATCGACGCGCCGCGGTGGTGGACGTGCTTGGGGTAGTTCCGGCCGTACCCCACCACGTAGCTCATCTTCATCGGATTGTCTCCTAAGATGTAGTTCACCTGTTCACAGACGAAGAAATGATGACATCCATGGAGGAGGAGGAGGAGAGAGAGAGAGTCGAAAGGAAGACAAACCTGGGAGGTGGCGAAGCTACGGAGGCTGTCGGCGGAGAAGTAGTAGGGGCCGCAGTAGTACCCGGGAATATTAGCAGCGTCCAAGTAATCGGCATACAGGGAGGCGAGGAAGGCAGCAGTGACAGCATACTGTAGTGGCTGAGGCCGGCCATGGTTGAGCTCGATCAACCCACCTGCGCAACCCATACCGCCATATGAGCACCCCAAAGCTGTAATCTCAGCGCCATATGGATCGATCCAGTACCTGGGGTGAAGTTGAAGACGTTGAATCTCTGCAGCTTCATGCACATGTTGATCCCGGTGGTGTTGTGATACCCACTCAGGCTCTCCTCGTATGGATATCCCGGATTCAAGAACAGCCTCAGCCTCGTCAACAATAGCTGCGCGCCGGGGAGCTTGTTGTCCCAGCTGAACACCCCCAAATCCGGGATCTGCAAGAAGGCCATGGCGTTCTTGGGCAGCCTCGGGTCGGTGGCGAACTGGATGTAGCTCTTGTTGCCGCTGGCGTAGAACATCCACGCCGCGCTCCACATGTACTCGTCCCAGTACCCCGTCGAGTTGTAGAACGGCTGGATGTAGCGGTTCCCCCGGCTGTACGGCGTGCGGTGGCCGGGATCGCGGGCGAACTTATAGACCACGGCCGCGCCCTTGAGGAGCTTCTGCGAGTAGGCGCCGTCGTCGCGGAAGACGATGGAGGCGGCGGCCAGAGCCGCGGCCACCTCGCCGCCCAGGTCCGGGGCGGAGTTGGCTGTCTGCACCGGACGAGTGTAGTCCATGTCCTCGGGCCGCATCCAGCAGTAGTGGTCGTCGGGCGAGGCCGAGTCATTCGTAGCTCCGCCTACCTGGTCATTCAACGATCGGTTGGTGTCAGGAACATCCATGGAGCTCCTATGGGTTTGATGCGGAAGAAGAGACATGCCTGGCTGTATATCTGGGTGATGGTGGTGGCAGAGGAATTGAAGGTCTTGAGCAGGTAGTCGGTTCCCCATTTGATGAGCTCCCGGACGTGGTCGTACTCTCCGATGTCCTTGTACTTGTTGCTGTACTCTATCACCGACCAACTCAGCAGCGTCATGGAGAACGCCATGGGGAAATGGAACTTGATGTTGTCGCCGGCGTCGTAGTATCCTCCGACGAGGCCGCCCTTCACGTCGGTTCCTTCAGAGCCGTCTTTGAGGCCAGAATCTCCACGCCATGGTATGCCGTTGTTCTTCGGCAAGCGACCGGCTGATGAGTCAACGCAAACACGCAGCTAAATGTCAAGCCTTCTTCCATGGATGAAGGCAATTGCAATTTGAGTGGTTTCGGTCAAGACAACAGGACATGTAGCTATTGAGATCATGAATCAGAATTCAAGTCTGCTGCCAATCACAACAGCTGAGCAACAGAGGAGGAGAAGAAACAGAGCAAGCGAGCCTTACATTTCTGTGCGTTGAAGAACATCAAGGCCTTGTGGAGGGCCTCCGTGTACCGATCGGGCGGCGGCGGCGCTTTCTTGTGCTTGGGGATCGACTTGGCGATGGTGATGGGAACGCCAATGACGACGAAGGCGATCAGAACGGCGTAGAACGTCCATTTCAACACCTTGCGCTTGACGACCATGCACCCCAGATCGACGTACTTGTCCTTCTTCTTGGCCTCCTGCGGCCCCAGCAGCCAGCTCTGCTGCGTCTCGTCGAGCTGCTGCCGCGACAGCGCCGCCCGGTCCAAGTCCATGTTACGGCTGTGCTCGTCGTCCGTCGTCGGGTCATGGATCTCGAACGAGCCACCCCAGTGGTTCATGGAATGCATCCTGGCCTTGGATGATGGACGAGGAGAAGATTGAGCTGTTTCGGAAGCTAACTTCTCTAATCACAGAGATGCAAACTCCTCTTCCCCTTAATATGCCACAGGGGTTGTTTTCTTGTCCTTTTCCTTTGGAAACTACGGGTAAGAAAGAAGGAGATGGTTGACTTGGTGAAGGAGTGGTTGGATCTTCTTAAACTTCTTCCAAGCATTACAAGCTTTGCTTTCAATTCTCTTTTGCTCACTGTCTTTCTTTATCATTGCTGCAGAGGACTTGTCTGCCGGAGAAAGCTGCTGGTTTTTGTGGGGAGGAAGCGGCATTAGCGGGGGAGGCTGATGCTGCCCGGTGGAGATGGATTGACTTCAGCAACTCTGAGACGAGGTCTGGTTTCTCTGCAAGCATGTGGTGGAGGTCATAGTTTAGTACAAGATATGAGGCATGTGGTGCAGCAATGGTAGTAACAGTGCTGTAATCAGCACTAATCAACATGGAAGCTTCTCTCTCTCACACACACACAGGTATTCTATTGATCTCATTCAGAGTTCTTGGAGCTTGAGACCTTAACCTCTGGAGTAGATTACTAGCACTTGCATGTGTTGTCTTACCTAAATCTAGGAAGTCACACACACACCTCTCAATTAGACATCATTTTAATTTGGTTTAGCCACAAATACATATTTACTCACAAAATTAGACCTGCTTTAAGCTTGATTGTATAGGTTAAGGAGAAGACAAGTTGAGTTGCCTTGAGTTAAGTTGAATACTAATCTGTCACTGACCACTGGAATTTGTATAAATGGCTGCTGATTGGTGACACTCTTTCAGCTTAAATGTAGACATTTTTATGCATTTAAGTACTATGATACAGAAGTAGTGCTTTATTAGATGGATCCTTTTTTTTCTATTTTTTGAATTATTTTACATTAGATGACTCTTCTGGTAGGCTGATCTTGCACTTAGAAAAATCAAGCCAAGCTGTGTTGGATAGCAAATTAAAGTCAAAGATTTGAGAGCTGATGCTCTTCCATTTTCTACTTCCAATGTATTAAGTAGCTGTCAGGAAGTTGGCACCCAATGAATCTATGAAAGAAAGCATTCTTGTGGTCAATAGAACAGCTATATTGATCTCTCACCACCCATGTCTATAAGACTTGGAATGCTGATACCAATGCAGCTACCATTGACCTTGATTAAACAAATAGCAAAACAATAAATGAAGAGAGATGTGTGTGTGGGTGTGTGTGAGAGAGAGAGAGAGAGAGAGAGAAAGAGTCTGAGGTTTAGTCATCACCAAGGAAAACCTTTCTATAGGCTAACTATTCCTAAATCAGTTGTTACATGTCTGGCATAGGAAGAAGACAATACTGAGAAGGAAGTTTATACAGCACAGAGCAGCAAAAGTTATTTGGCAAATCTTCCATAATTGCCATTAGGATCATGCTCATGTCTAGCATTCAGGGAGAAAGAAGAATTCAAGGAAGGATCATAAGGAAATCAGAACAATTAGTGTTCTTCCAAACCAAAATTGACCTCATACTAGGACAGTGGTGAACATATTTGTCATAGTTCTAAGTAAATATGGTGAAGATTATTTACAAAGCTTTTAGTCCTAAACCATATGAATTGTTTCATACTAAAATTACTCTTGATTCTGAAACATTAATTTTGATGTACACAAAATATTCCAGCTGGATTCTAGAAAGACACACCTTCTTTTGCTCACAGACTTTGCTGACTAAAAAGGATTTCTCTGCAGAGGAATGTGTGATTGATCACCTGCAGCTCATTCATTTCTAGAGTTCAGACATTTAGTAGTTTGTCAGGATGATATGTTTTCACTGTACTAGTGGTCAAACTGACACCCATCTGTTCTTGTATCAATTACTGAAGTGTTCATCTGGATAATACACCCTTAAAAGTTACTGATGAGCTCTTGGCAAAGAAATATTTTGTGAGAAAAGAACCACCACAACTAGATGTTTATATGTTTCATAGATCAACTGATACTGTATTGTACCCAAATAGTGCATTTCCTAACTGCAGCACTTAAATTAACATTGGTTCCCATCTGAGTCATTCTATTTATGATCTGAAACAAATGCACTTCCCCTGTCTCTATCTTGCAAGAAAAAAGGATCACAACATTCTAAGATATGAGTTCTTTACTTGGTTCTGGTAGGTGATGCACATCAGTGTCCCCACAGGAACATCAACCATCTTCATTTGAGCTATTTCTATCATATTTGTTTCACAAATAGTATCATTCCTCATGAAGATTAATCAATTCATAGAAGACTTCCTTTGGGAGTTGGAGAATGGATTGTTCTTTCCCTTCAGCCACTAAATCTTTACCATATCATCAGCACCATCAACCTATTGTGCTCATGAATTTTCATTATACATGTTTTCAAACTCCATTAATATCTTTATAATTGAATCTACTATTAATATTTTCAGTGGTTTAAACTTGAGTAATAGTTTTTCTTTTAAGTTGAAGTTCAATTTTGGGTTGTTAAAAATTAATAGAAGTCCTCTAAAAAAGGTTTAAAATTTTTTTTACCAACTGAACTATTACTGTCTTATGATGAATAATAAATTCAAATATTAAAATATATTGCATGTGAAAAAATTAAATTCATTTTTTTGATGATATTAATGCAAAAATAATGTTATGACACATTATACTTTTTTTTTGCTATATCTCTGTGAGTGATAGAAAATATTAATTTTCTTGGATAAATATTTTATATTTTTAGTATTTTTTACAATACATTTGATATTGGTGGAAGGGCCAGCATTTATAAACCGTTATAATAGAAAGCGTTACATGAAAATATCGTGTTACATGTATGAATATATCGGATAGCGTTACAGTATGGGCATTGGTCACGGAAAGCGTTACGAGAGCAAGCGTTACCGTGACATAAAGGTGTCGCGTCACCACGTGGTGAGCAGAACATGAAAAGGAAAAGCCAGAGGAGAAAACCAGGAAGAAGAAACCTTTCAAAACCCTCTCCTTTCCCCCCTTTCGTCTCTCCCTCTTCGCTTCCCCGTTCTCGCGGTGGAGTCCGAGCGACTTCCCCCCTCTCTCGGAAGTAAAACCTACTCCCATTCGGTACCAGAACTTGACCTTTTCCTTCTTGTTCGGGTGGTGTCTGTTTTCTGGAGCATTTTGGTGGCGAAGTCCCTGTTTTGGGTTGCCGTTGGAGACCAAGATGGAAGGGGGGACGGAGGGTTACAATTCGCGGACGCCGGAGGATGTGTTTAGGGATTTCCGAGGCCGGCGAGCCGGAATAGTCAAGGCTCTCACCACCGGTATCAAAAAGAAGTGTTTTGTTCCTCCTTTTCCCCTTTAGAATTCGAATGCTTCATTATTTTCTTACTTTTTTGTTGCAGATGTTGAGAAGTTCTACCAGAAATGCGATCCTGGTGAGTTCTCTTGCTTTCGATTGGATACTTTGGCATCAGCATTCGTTGTAGAAATAGGGTTTCTGCTTCCTTTCTTCATGTTGCGATTTCGTTGCGGACGAAAAATACAAGGAAAAAAGTCTTTTTTTTTCGCCTAAGTTGACGACTTTAGTTGTTATAGTGTTCGAGAAGCATCTAAAGCAACAAGAAAAGGTCAAAAAATGAAGAAGTTTGTGAAGAAGTGCAGATTTGAGGTACAGGTCGAATGCCAAAGGATTATGAGTCGGCTCTCCTCTAAGATTACTTGACTACTTTGGCATGCACACCCACAAATATGAATCTGCTAATAGGAAGTGAGACCCCAATTGGGGTAATCGATGATGGGAAGTGGAGATGGATATAAGAAACTGTTTCCTGGAAGCACAAGGGAGAGAAATGAAAAAGAAAAAAGAAAGTAAAAGAGAGGCATGATGGAATGGGAGTGTGTTGGGTCAAAATTTAGAAACCCTTTATTTCCGAATTTTATACTTACTGCAAATGGAGATAATGGGAAGGAGGATGCTTTAAACAGACGTTGGTGATAAAATAGTCACTTCAGATACCCCAAGTATACTCTGAATAAGAGTGGCACCCAATGATTTCATGCTGTTTGAAGGGACTGAGACATGATTTTGATGAATAGGAAGAATTATATTCAAATTCAAAAAAGTTTATAGATTACTATGCAAATACTTCCCACTATCCTTCTTCTCGCAGTCATTATGCTCCTAGTCGATTCTTTGTAAAGGAAGTGAACAATTAGTGTTGATACCTTGTTTTCTTTTACTTATAAGGAAAAAGAGCATATACAATGCATGAGGCTCCCGCTAATGCAAGATTTGGAGAGGGTCAATTTACGTAGCCTTACCTTTAATTATTTAAAGAAACTGGTTCTGCGACTTATACCCTGATCTCCCAAGTTGTAAAGAAGTAATCTTACCGTTATACCAAGGCTCATCCTCTTTCTTTTACTTATATGCAGTAAATAGTAAATTGGATTTCCAAATTTCATATCAGGGTGGAGTCTAAATTCTTCTGGTACTTCATAGCATTTCATGCTTTCAGTTGTAGTGTTTGTACTTGTTTGGATGATGTGCCACTTGTTCTTTAAAAAATAAATAATGAAAACATTTTTGTTACCTTCATTTATACAATTTTCTCTTTTATATGTACTTGCATTTTTCTAAAAGATTTAGAAGGTTCATATTTCCATATCTTTTATAACAGCTTTAAGACCTTTAGCCTCATGACCATCAAATGATCAATATAGTATCTGTGATTGTTTGATCTTCTGATCGTTTGATGTACTTAAGCTTTGACTATTTATTGTCTAAAATAATAAACAAATGGACTTAGTTTTCAGCTATTGCATTCTTAGTATGATTTTGTACCAAAAAACATAGTTTAAGGACAAGTTTTTTACACTGCATTCTTTCATGAAATTATTTGGTTGTACATCTTATGCTAACTGTGATTGTTTTTGCAGAAAAAGAGAATTTATGTCTATATGGTCTGCCTAACGAGACTTGGGAAGTGAACTTGCCAGTCGAGGAAGTTCCTCCCGAGCTTCCAGAACCAGCATTAGGTATAAACTTTGCTCGTGATGGAATGGGCGAAAAGGATTGGTTGTCACTAGTTGCAGTTCACAGTGATGCATGGTTATTAGCTGTTGCTTTCTACTTTGGTGCACGCTTTGGGTTTGATAAAGAATCCAGGTACCTTAATATTTGTTACTTACTTTTTTAGTTTTATTTGAATTTTCTACACCAAGAGATGCATATGCCTTTTTACTAAGTCTTTCAGCTCCTTGGTGTTCTGCCACCAAAGATTTGCGTTTATAGATCTGCTTTTTCAGTTTTTAGTTCCATTTTTTCTTAAAACATTTATATAACACATGTCTTTGAAGGGTTGTGCTGCCTCAGAATTCTATCAGTTTTTTAATATTTTCTTGCACTTTGATGGTTGCATTTCAAACTATGTTTGATTTGTTGGAGAAGGTCAAAAGATTGGCAATTATTTGCTAGATATGGGTTGCTTTGACATTAGATTGGTGTTAAAGAATTGTCTGAGCCATGGATTTTGCAAGGACAAGGTGGAAACTTCTATAAATTGTCTAACATGCTTTGAAAATTGGTCGTTGCTTATCAAAATTTCAAACAAGATATTTTGTGAACTACTCAAGATTGGGCCTCGATCGTGATGATCCCTGGGCGAGCCATAGTTGTCCAATTCCTAACTGTCTACCGCTAGACTGTGATCCATCTCTAGTTAATATTAATTAGTCAGTTAGGCCAAATCCACCCAACTATTATCATTTCTGGCATATTTTTGATAATTTTAAAGAAATGTATACTTACCGACATGGTTCGTCTTACTGGTCCATTCTGGTATATTTACCAACTATCGGTACAGTATGTACCGAACATACCAACATATGGTACATTGGGGCACACCGATGTACCGCTCATACCGGTCCCCCGTTGGACTGATATGTATTGTCCGCACCAAGTGATATGTTGTGGTACGACGAACCTTGTTTGTAGACCAATTTGTATCCCATTATAAGCTTTAATGATGAATCCGAAACCTTTGAACTTTGATTTCTAGAGAAGTTCTGATTTACTTTGTGAATATTGGACTTCTTATTTGATTTCTGATTTTGATAAGGCTCAGGTGGAAATTTTTATGGAAAGTTTCTTAGTGTTGTATTAGAAAAATAGTTCAATTTTGTGGAATCAATTTGACATTAAAACCTTGCAAGAGGGTTAATAAACTTGAAGGAACATTTTCCTTTTATTCTTTGGATGATATAGAAAATTATAGAGGGCCCATTCTAATTGTGAGGATTGTTGTATGAACAATATGTTTTTCGATACTATCACTGTAACTGAAAGAATGAAATACTTAACGAATTTTGTTTTTTTTATTTGAGAATTTTTAGTTGTTCAATGAGTTGGCTTTGCACTAATAATTCCTTTGATGGTTCATTTTCACCCGTTATAACTCTTGGCAAATTCTGATGAGTGCATAATACAGGCAAGTACTGTTCAATTATGTTATAGTTGTTTACCCATTATAACTCTTTGTATATATGCAAATTTTATGTATTGATTTCTTCTGACCAACTGAAGCAGAGAAAGGATCAGACATGATCCTCTCTTTCCTTCTGGGCGTCCAACATTTCTGATGAATACAACACAGTAACTTCAAAGAAAAGTAGCAGCCATCAGTGGAAAAGACTGAAACACAAATATTTGTTAGAAGACTAGTCATTAGGATTGGGCAATATTAAGCCTACATGACCTATCCAGAGATCCTATCAACTACTTTTGTTATTTGGCAGTCATTTTCCAGCAATAAAGTTTTTATTTCTCTCTAATTTAGATCTTTGGAAGGCTTTTCCCCTTGAACTGGTTAAAACTCTGGTTAGGAGAGTGATTTACTTGTTCTAAGGAGTTTTTCCTAGTAATCTAATAGGCTATTGTTTTGGAGTAAAAGGAGCATGAGTATAGCTTTCCTCCCTCTTTAAGTTAACTTGGAATAAATGACTATTTCTTGGCACGACAAAAAAAACTTGTGTGTAAAATTCTTGATCATGTTTTTAGTAGAACCATTCCATAGAGTTATCCTTTAGGTTTAATGATCCCTCCTATCCCAGAAAAATTGCCAAACTGTGTTCCACTTGATTGTCCATATGCTAATGCAAAATTCAATAACTCTGTAGTTCCGAAATCAAGGGCTACAAACAAACAGTCAAGTCGTTAAATAAAACTGTCTAAAGTCATTTGAAAATTTTGATATATACACTTAAGTTGCTATGCATCTTATGTCCTTCCCGTTCTGCAACTTTCTTGAATTTTCAATATTGTATAACCATTTTTTTTAATATGTCACTTGCCTGGTGAGAGACCTGTTGATTCTTGTTCAGAATCCTTTTTGACTTGCATCCAGTTTCCAAATTCTACTACCCTTTAGGCTCCATGCAATAATCTTAATGCTACTATGCTCCACTAGGTGATCCAGACCTGCTAGTTACATTGATTACTCCCTTCTAAGCGAAAACTTTCTTCTTTGTTGTGGGGTGTATTCTGTTGTGCATATATATCTTGAGGTTAGACCAACAAACTTTTCACTCTTGTACATCATGATCGTTTGTGGTGTTTTATTGCCTTGCTAGCTCATTATTTGATGAACTGCTAATCCAGCTTGTATAATTATAAGGCATTGTGCTGGCATTCCATCAAATGGTAGCAAAGGTTGACCACATAAAGTTATAAACGAATATTGAAAGAAGTCATTTCTGTATATCTAATTTTAAATTACACAAATTCACTTCTCTTTAGCATTTGGATTAAAAAAGAAAAACATGAGCGAAATGCACCTGCTGCTTGATATTTTGTACTGCATAATTGCAGGAACCAGCTCTTCCAAATGATCAATAGCCTTCCAACCATATATGAAGTTGTGACGGGAATCACCAAGAAACAATCCAAAGATAAAACCCCTAGCAGCAATGGCAAGAGCAACAAATCTAGTTCAAAGGTAGTTTGGTTACTTGTTTGGTATACATTGCCTCTTTGTCATTGATATGATTTCCTATTTCTTTTCCTCTGTTATTTCAGTCGTCGAGACCATCAGAGTCCCATGCAAAAGCCTCAAAGATGGCTCCACCGACGGAGGAACATAGTGAAGGAGAGGATAAGGACGAGGAAGATCATGGAAATACTCTATGTGGTGCATGTGGAGACAACTACGCCAATGACGAGTTTTGGATATGCTGTGACATTTGTGAAAAATGGTTCCATGGGAAATGTGTTAAGATCACTCCTGCACGGGCTGAGCACATCAAACAATACAAGTGCCCTGCTTGCACTACCAAGAGGGTTCGAACATGAAGGAACAGGAAGTATGTGTCTTTTGTTTTAGAAACAAGGGCTTTAGATGCAGCAGGAAATGGGACTACACACTGGAGTTTCCTTGATCTTACCTTGCACTAGTATGGTTTATTAGTTACAGACATTTAGCATTAGCAAACTGAATCTGCCCGCATTATCTTTCCAGACATGTCTTAGCTTGTTGAATGAAATGCTTCCTTTTGAATACCCATTTTACTTATTTTGTATATGATATTTCTGCTTTCATGGATTTCTTGATGTTTTACATGGATTGGTGGTCTATAAATCATTTGCATAAAGGAAGTTTGGGTATCCCACAATCCTTATCAAAAAGGATTTTGTTCTAGATAGTTGCTTACAAGACTAAGTCCGTTCAGTTCATATATGTTCATTTTTCAGTCGATACTTGTTAAACAAATAATTAAAATTATCTTTGCATTTATGTTTTTCATATTATGTAATGATTACATGTCCGAGAACAGCCACATCAAGAACTGTCATGAAAGAAGCTGTCTCCATGTACAGGTATAATACTCATCTGCTTCATATTTAGCATGGTTATCAATATCAGACCAACCATGGTCAAACTTGTATTCCTATTATTCCAATCATTTACTTGATCTATAGCAAATAAATCAAGTGCCAATGATTTTTATGGCAAAAGGCATTCTGTGGATGAGAAGGTTTTGCCCATTTTACTGGATGTGTGGAGGAAGAAGGGGATAAGGTGAGCTTTGTTTCTGGTTCTGCAGCTGTTTGAGATGAGGTGTGTTTGGCTGACAGCTCAAGGTTCAACAGGAGCCTATGACTTGTGATCAGTGTGCCATCAAAATCCCATCTAATTGCTGCCACAACCACCAGGTTTCCTAAATTTACTCCTCACCACATGCTTTCCTTCCAATTCCATTCTCTTTTCTCTAATATGCAGCTTTGGTAATGGCATTTAATGTGTAAAGCCACCAGTGGTGGTGATTTATGGAATGAACAAAAGCATTGTTTTTGATGTAGGGTGTGCTTATTTGCAGAATAGATTGTGCTTTGGGCTTTTGCAAATTTGGAAGAGGATTTTGTATTTGATTCCTTGAATGTGTTCAGTTTATGGCTGCCTCATAATTGGACAGCTGCATCAGCTCTTCCCACTTGCAATTTCCTTTGTTCTCCTTTGTGAGGATTTGAGTGTTACTGTATGAGCTTTGTGCAACTTTGATTAGATTTTGTATCTGCCTTAAGTCTCTATGATAACTATGTTAGGACTCTGATAATACTAGTTGAAGGAGAAAAATAATAATAATAATAACAGTTCTCTCAGTGGAATTATGATAAAGCAAATTGTTGTTGTTCAGCAAATTCAAACTCTGCTTTCAGAAGCTGGTAAAAGGAATTCCAGGAACAAAGGAAACATCACAAAATTAAAGGGTGGCAAAAGAGATTCAAGAAAGATCTTGAGTGAAGCAAAGCTGGAATAAAGGAGATATTGAAGAATAATGTGTCACTGATGTAAAAGATGCAGAAATGAAAAGAAAAAGGTAACAATTTCTGCAGTAACTTATCAATAGGGATTGCTGAAACAGTCTGATGTGCTAAAATTCCAACTTGAAAGTTTACATGCCCCTCTTCTGCTGACATGTTCAAGGATCTCATCTAGATCTAAAGAGAAGGTGCCCTGTGATGGAAATTATTGCTCAACATTTAGGAGATACTTGAGCATGGAAAGTTTAAAAGATATAATAAGCATCTCACATGTACCAATGTTATCCACCTTTTTTTTACCCATTGTTCAGCTAAGAATTGATTAGGATTTTGAATGCCAGGCTCAAACCTCAATGGTGAATAATGAGACTTATACCAAGAGTGTCTTTAAGCAAATCTTGATGCTTACAAAGAAGGATTGCATTCAGGAAACGTTCATACTTAAAGAAGGGTAATCATCTACCAAGATCTTGAAACTACTTAATAGGATGTTTGAACAGATGGGGGGATTAACTCAAGTTCAAACATGCATGAAAAACTACACTAAATGTCTGAAATGAGAAGAGCTTCCCAAGTCAGTTGATGACTTGTATGCTCTCCTTAGACACAAGCTCTTAACTCAATGACATTCACCCTAAACTTAAGGTACCACTGGACATTGAGTTTATTGTGCATCCTAAAAAAAAGGAAAAATGATCAACTGAGTTTATTTAATACACAATTGAAATTCAAATGCTAATATTAGTTTTCCTTGGCATATGATCATTCTTTTCATAAAAGATGCCATGCTAGTAGTGGAATGGAAAGTTTACTCCAGTGCTATGGCCTTTGCTTGAATCATGATAGTGCAAGCAAAGCAGAAACCCATACTTTATTTTTGTTGGTCACAACCTTGTAAACCTTTCTCTATTTCCCTCAGTCCTGTAAATATTCTGCTTTCTCTATCTTCCAATTTGTGCTCCCTTCCACTGCTGTAATGCCATATTTATTGTCTCAGAACCAAAACCCTTCTACCAAATCAGCCCAATTCTATTCTTCCTATCCTTTCCCCTTTACTTGTTTATTTCCCTTCAAGCTTTTCCTAATGCCCTCTTCTTGCAATGGAAAGCACAATGGAAGATATCCTGAAACTTCTTATGAAGAAAACCAACTATAGTTTCCTAGTGTCATAATTATGTTCTATTTTCTTTTGCGATTAGACTTCACAAGGTCACGGCATCAGTTAATGTAAGCTTCTTTTATGTCAACTGAAGCTGTGACTGCTCACCAACAGAAACTACATCTCAGTAGACCTTGACCTTGGCCTTCTACAATTAGTCCAAGAACATGTATAAAGGCTTGACTACAGTTTTGTGCTCCTCCCATAATATGGGAATAAACAGCTAAGGTTAGGTCTGGTTCACAAGGTTATCAAATCTACCACAGAAGGACCCCAACATGGCAGGCCAACTAATCTAATGGCATTTATAACAAAAGGTTATAAATACAACTTTAATAAGAGCATCACTGCTCCATTGGAGAGTAGTGACTCCTGGTTAACCATCACAGCTTTAACTACTTTTAGCTCCATTAATATAGAGAAGAGTGCGCATGATCAAGCCGGTATGTTTTTCTCTAGCCAGAATAATTAATAAACTTGGTTGCAAAATGATGTGCAATTTTGTCTAAAGTTTGGGCGATAATTCCAAGTTTACTTGAGACATTACACATGCATATAAACTAGCCACAAAGATGGTTATGCATACTCTTTTGCAACGCAAGACCAAACTTGCTCGGTTAATATTACACCCTATAATAATTTTATTGTGTAACACCCTGTGAAAGTAGTATCATGGTTGATATACCAACTTATGCAACTACTATGGTCAAACTCTCAAAGTACTATGAAAGTCAAGAACTCTCAAATCATACTGACATGGAGGTCATGTATGAAATATGCTGCCTATTTACTGACAATTCATTCTTTCATCAATAACATGTTGAACCAATAAAAATAAAAAATGAAACAAAGAGACTGTATAGCATTAGATGCAGCACCAAGATGAAATTATGTAAGATGTTAAAACTTAATTGAAAAAAAGGAAGAGTTCTGGATTTCAAAATTGCATACTTAAATATTCATGTACTGTCTTAGAATGATATAAGTGATTCCTAATGTCATCTGCGCATGTGAACCCAAAAAAGTGTCTCCATCTAGCATTACTGTGTATATAGCTTCATAAGGTTTGAGAAACATGAGCATTACAGAACATATGCGTGTGAAGGTCCAGATTGAGCACACGATAGCATTAGATGGTGATGTCTAAAGCTCACATTGTTAGTCCGCAAAGAAGCTTCTACATTGCAGTTCCAAGGCACTAATCGAAGTAGTAATGCTTGTCCACAGTAACTGACACATCCCATGTGCAACTCATCCCCTCGGGGAACTCCACCAGATCACCAGCCTGGATCTCTACAAACTCATCACCATGCCCTTCTGGAAAAACCTTCACCTTGCCCTGCAGCAGATAGCATGTCTCCTTTGCTACGTACTTCCATGGGAATTTGCTTGGAGAACACCCCCACCTATAAGCACAACAAAAAAGCCTCACATCTTTAATCACACAACGGAACATATATGTTAACAGAAATCATCCAGAATTAAAATATTTGCATATCTATATATGTTAATGTCATAGGAAGCTGAAAAAAGACAACAGTCTCGCTAAGGCTCCCTAAGTAAATAAAGTAGTCTTGATCCAGAACACAAGTTAATAATATGGTCCATTATAATTATATCTAACAACAGTAAAATCTTCATTTATGGGCATCTGCATCGTTTAATATCATAGACATAATGGCATACCAGAACACCATACTCTCACAGCTCTATGGTGCACAATTACATGTTCTCACAATAATAAGATCAGGAATTTGAGGAAGCAATGGAACAATATTTACGAGGAAATGTGAAAGATGAATGACATGTCCACCAATCCCTTCATGTCTATTAGCTCTGTGATGCATGATGCTAGGGTTAGGAATCTTGTGAAGTAACGCAAGAAACTTATGTGATTTGATGGATTCAAACAGCACTAGTATATAACATCAGGAATACCAAGCATATACACAATTCTAGAGAACCTAAGTGACAGATGCAGAATCGTACACTACGCTGTTGTCAGACGAAAATAAAACTACTGAGATTTGGGAACAATCATAAGCTTTAGAGAAAATGTCTCCATTTAATGGCTACATACAGTGAATCACTCGTACCAAAAAAGACAAATAAATCGACAGATTAACAAAACAAGAAGTTATCTGTTGGACTTATCTGAGTTGGAGGAACCACAGATTTTATACAAACAAGACATCAAGCATCAAAATAGATGTTGTTGAGATGAAGTTTGAACATTTCGGAGAAAAGCTCTTGGTGATCAACAATCAAGCATTCTTTAGCGTTGATGACAGCAGCATTAACATGATCATGATCTAAGAGAGCCGCTAGCCTATTCTCCAGTTACACGATGTCATGTCTGGAATCTCTACTTCTGCCCTAACCAATAATTACAAGCGGCACTCTTTACTATTAGCTCTTCCTCTATCTTTCCAAATGAGTACTTTCATTATCCGTCCCAATTACCCCACGATTTATACACCTCTGCTACTCAACGTAACATTTCAGGGTGCTGGATGACAAATCACAATCAAATCCCCTCAAGCAGAATGCCCAGGATCCCGAAATGCAACATCAATTTAACAAATTGAAGATGCTCCGCCCTAAAATTTCCACTCAAGCGCAGAAATCTCCACGAGAACAACTAACACGACCGCATAAACGAGCCCAACTTGCAGCAAAACGAGAAGGCAACCATAAAAAAAAGCATACTTGGGCCACTGGCGGACGCCGAGTTCGGCGAGCCTGGACTCGGGCGGATTCCGCTCGACCTTGATCCCCAGCTTCTCCGTCGCCATCGTCTCCGCCCTGATCCGAAACCGGAGCAACCTTGGATCCCTACACTTCTCCTGCGCCCGTGTCGCTCGAGCTGGGAAGAGAACGCCAGAGAACGGTGTCCGAGCCATCAGGGTTGGGCCGGCCATGGTTTTCTACGAGCAGCAGAAGCTTCCCGAAGCAGAAACTAAGTCCAATATAACTGTTTTCCTGCCCTTTTTATGCTCCTATTCAATTACTCTTCAATTTATCTAATAATATATGTTAATTTTCTCGTCCGTTCGTTTCTTATCCAATGCTCTGGATTTAAAGGATAACGTGATCTGTGGCTGCACCCCGAAACCCAACCAAAATTAAAAGTTCAAAATCTCATATAATAAATTCTTTAAGGTTATCAACTTACTTAACTATTAAAAATGATTTTAATTAATTCATCCTATAGTAATATAATCAATAAGTAAATTACATTAAAGTCCAATTTCATCATGTAATTAATTTATCATCTAAATATACGTTCCAACTGTGATCGTTTTCCTACTCACTTGTCCTATTCTTCTTTTCGACCTCGACATGATTGACTTTTTCCAAACTCGTATCACTCTCTGGCTTCGAATGGAAGCCAACTTACCAGAGGAGACTTGCAGAGCAAGTGATGGTAATCTATCTATACTTTACTCCATTATTGATGCAACATCATGCTATTCATATGCGTCATCAGCTTACACGCTTCTTGCAAGTCTCTATACATGCTCAGGAGATCAACTGCATCAGCATAAGATCATTGCTGATCGATATCTTGTGTGAAGATAACTTGTTTATTTAGGAGTGCCTTTCCAAGGAGTACATCGTTCATCTACGTGACTTTACTGTCACTTGCTCTTAGAAATCACCACCATAACGAAGCACACGGAGTGCATGCAAAGGAGGCCGCAAGTATCATCGGTACAGGAATAACTGATATGTTGCTGTGAACCTCAGTTTCCATCATCAAATCATTAGGGAGTTTGGTTTAACTCATAGTTTCTACTTCAGCTTCGACGCCACAGCTACGTCGATCGGAAGAGTGAAGCTCAATCAAGTGGGCTGTGCACCATTAAACTCCAACAGGTCTCCCTCACATGCTCTCTGCCCGAAACCATGGTGGATCCTTGTTAAACTAAGCTTACGATCGTATTCTGGATATGAGATGGAGGAGCATCATATATGAGGAGAAGATCGAGTTCATGATTCGTGGTGGGTTTGCTTGGTGAATTCGGAGGAATACTCTATGAAGAAATCGTCTTCAACTCCCAAGCCAATCACATGCACTTATGTAGCTCGATACAACTCCTCCAGCCGAGACTTGCTTCCGGAACAATCAAATGATCCCTTAATTTAAGACCTTATTCTTCTCCTCGGGATCGTTTCCCAGTTAGAATAAGCAGCGGCTTGTTGAATAGCATTAGATGCAGCCGAGTCTCATGCTCTTGACTTGTTTTCTACGGCAGTAGCTTTATCCAAGTCCACCGGCGTAGCAGCCGGCCTCAACTTTTTGGCAGTCATCAGATACTTAAGCCCATTTTGCACCACCTTACGTCGAACGCTTCGTCCGAGGGCTTCCCGAGACTGTGCATGCGCTGGGGGCCCGTGGCAAGGCAATGGCGTCTGCTTCGTCTTCGTCGGCCAGCACCGGAGTTCCTCCCGGCTTCCGGTTCCACCCCACCGACGAAGAGCTCCTCCTCTACTACCTAAAGAAGAAGGTGTCGCTCGAGAAGTTCGAACTGGAGGTCGTCAGGGAGGTTGATCTCAACAAGATCGAGCCATGGGACTTGCAAGGTACCTGTGATCGATGTGTTTGCGGTGATACGATAACATGTAACCCTCGTAGAGTTGCAGTCGTGCTCTTAGCATTCTCGGCGTACTGAGGAGGACAAGGTCTCATGTCTTGATGATGCAGAACGGTGTAGGATCGGCTCGGCCCCTCAGAACGAGTGGTACTTCTTCAGCCACAAGGACCGCAAGTACCCGACGGGGTCGCGGACCAACCGCGCCACCGGTGCCGGATTCTGGAAGGCCACCGGCCGCGACAAGTGCATCCGGAACAGCTACAAGAAGATCGGCATGAGGAAGACTCTAGTATTCTACCGCGGCCGCGCCCCCCACGGCCAGAAATCCGACTGGATCATGCACGAGTACCGGCTCGAGGATTCCGACGACGCCATCGACAGCGCGGCCGGCTGTGTGAGCTTTCTGTTTCCCTGACCCAGAACGCATTGCTCCGCCTCTATCGTAATCCTCTCTCTTCGTCGTGTCGCAGGAGGAAGGATGGGTGGTGTGCAGGGTCTTCAAGAAGAAGTGCTTCTTCAAGGTCGGCGGCGACGGGAGCTCCGGGCAAGCCATGGAGAACCACGTCAATGTCGGGGTGAGCCGCCAGCAGCCCCGGGCGCTGAGCTCTCAGTACGTGCACCCGAACCTCACCCACCACTACCACCACTTCCACCACCACAACCCCAACCTCTACCACTCGCACATGCCGGCAAACGCCTATTCCCATGGCCAAGTGCAGGACCTGCTGACCAACCACAGGCCGTCGGGCTACGACTTCGCGGTGCTCCCGGGCGACGCCGCGGCCGTCGTCAAGCCATACGACGGAGGCCTGGAATTAGCTGCCGGCCCCTGCGAGGTGATGAAGGATCCGGGCTCCAGCCATTGGGCGGTGCTGGAGGGGATGGACGGGAGGCTGGGCGGCGCCGCTGCCACGGCGCAGCAGATGAACCCGATGGCGAGCCAACGTGGTGGTGAGATGGATTTGTGGGGATACGGGAAGTAAAAGGTCATGGAATAAAAGCCTAAACTAATGGTGTTGACAGCCATGCACGTAACTATTGTGGACATATGCTTTTAATATAGATCACTGCAATAAGGACCCAAGTTGGTGGTATCCATGCATGACTGAGATTTGAGTGCAAGTGCATCTGACCATGGATTGATTTGTGTCTATTTCTGAATTTTTTTACTCATGGAAAATGGAATCTTGTATGCATTCTTACTCTTTTTACTTGCCTGTGATTGATATGTATGCATTTTGTTGTAGATTATTCATTGTTCTTCCCATATAATGGATATGCTTAGCCAATTCTACACCAATTTGTGATGTCTTGCGCTCAAATGTTCGACTATGTGAGCGACAAGCTGTTGTGATGGTTTTGTAGGGCATTTGTGGCATGCGGGCATATATATATATATACATATATATATATGTATATATACATATATGTATATATACATATATGTATATATACATATATATATATATATATGTATATGTATATATATGTATATGTATATGTATATATATATATATATATGTGTG